CGTTCCCTCCCAACCGAGAAGTGGCAAGGACGCACTGGAAACACTGAGCGCGGAGTCGTGTGCGTTCCTGAGCTTCAGGGCACGTTAAAGAAAATCCGCACATTCCAGAACCCTTTAGCCGCCCGGTGGCCCGCCGGCGCCCCCCCCCCGGCATTGGTGCCAAAGCCAAACGAAGGGCAGCTACAACAAATTATCATTGTAATCTCCACAATAATACTGGTTGTCACCCTTGCCCATATCATTTCCTGTTATAGACTAACCTCGGCCCCCCATCTCAGAAAGGAAAGTTGATGTGCCCCCCACTGAAAAAAGTTTGGGGACCGCTGCATTAGACTGTACGTACCTGTTTCAGATTTGGGCCAAGACAGTTTGGAAAATGCTTTTAAATCTTGGCCAAACAACTGATATCACCACTGAATGTTACTCATGTTTGTCAGTGTTTTGTGTTGCATTTGAGGCATACTCTTATATGTAAGGGAGGGAAATGGATCCATGTTAAAAAAGAACATATCATGTGCATTGTCTAACAGCAGAATGAAACAGACGCATACGAGTAAATTAATAGAGGAAGGAAATGAAGTAAACTGACACAGCAAATAAATTAGTGTACAGCAATAATGAGAACACCATTCTCATTTCTAAACTAGAACGCACGGGTGTGCAGGTTTTATGCAGTAAACATGCACACAAATAATCACCTGGAGTCTATACATCACAGCTCGACATCTTAAAAAAGATAATAACTGAACAATCCTGGAAAGTTATTGTAGGATGTAGGTCATAAATACTATGTATTTGTTGCCTGGTTGGCTCAGTCTGTCATCCAGCCATATATACTATAATATCTGTAGCTATTTAACCAAGGAACAACATTAAACAGCAGAAAAAGCAGCCAGAAAACATTATACACACACACCTTTACATACAGTTGATGACAAACATTTTATTTTTCTAAACAAGACAGACTTTCAGTTAAGACTCTTTACAGGAGTTAATGCTCAGTCCTCTTGTGATAAACTGTTGCAGCCGCTGCCACCTGGTTGTACACCGAAAGACACAAAGAGGCCTACTTACTGAGCAAAATACAGTCAACGCCAGTGCTACGATAAGTCATTGTTCACTATTTGGAAAGAAAATCTGCAGAGAATAAAGTCTGCTACTTCAACACATTTCATGAGTTGTGCAAAACTGTCCTATAAATGTGGTTGTTTCAAAACTTTCACCAGACTGTGACAGGTTGAATAAAGTGAGCCAGTGACAAGTGATGAGCCACAACATGTGTAAAATAAAGAAAGTTCTTCTGACTTCAAGTTCATTCTTGATCATTTTCTTTGTATGAATAGAAAAAATATGAAAGAAATGACATAATAACATGCACTTAATGTGATGTATTGAATTCTATTTTTATACATACTGACACTTCCTGGCAAAACTGCATCCATTACATTCAGAAGGAATTCCGTTGACGCCATAAAAGTTGAAGCTTAAACCTCTTTAAGTGCTCAGAACATTCACTGAACATAAAAACATGCTTGTCCATTGTAGGCTACCTACATGATGTCACTGTAAAAATACTTGTGCTTATTAAACAACAGAGAAAGTTTCAGTTCCCAGGCCAAACAAAGCCACTCCTCTCTACAACAAGCAGGCAACAATTACAAAAACCCAAGAAACAGACACCAAAGCAAAGTGCCCAGAGCATTATCTATGAAAATATCTTCATAGAAAACAAATAAATCCTAGTCTTCACTTTGCATTCTTTTTTTTTCCTCTCTCTGATTTAGATTTTTGTTCTTTCCTCTGACTATATCTTCCTTCTTCTAATGTTCAGTGCCTGGATTGTACTCTTGTGCTCACAGCTTACAGAGTTTCTTATTCCTGCTTTTTTGCACTTCTCATCAAACTCCTCAATGTACTGTTGCACCGTTCAATGAGCCATTTGGACCACGACGGCCTTCCAGGCTCTGTCTTTGTCGAAATCCTGCGTTCCATTGGATGCTTGCTGCTGAGGGAGCAAAGCAGAAGAAGGGAGAAGGAGAGAGACAAAATGTTGAAGGGGAAAGGTGACAAAAACATTTAAATAAATTACGTGTGAAGAATCAGCAGCACAATGTCCTTTTTTTATATGCTCATTGATTTTTATGTCGCCATACTAACATGCCATTTACATGATTTATAGCTGGTGAGTCTAAAACCTGGAACAGAACGTACTCCTAGATGTTAGGAGACAAGGAGAGAGAAAAAAAACACACAAATCTCTCATTTTGTGTCCACAACTCCTGCATCTACGTGCTATACCTCATAGTAATGGGTCAGGGGGTGCATGCTGTCTTCACACTCTAGAGCCCCCATGCGGAGCTGACTTTTGTAGGAGGCACAGTGCACCACGGTGGCTGAAGTTAGAACTGCCTGCACCAGCAGCAGCACCATCAGGATCAGCAGCAGGATGTCATAGGATTGCTGAACCACACAGACACACAAACACAGGCAGATGAAATTAAACCAGTAAAATTTCTCACTAGTAAATTTCACAGTGTCACAGTTTTTCTTCCTGTATTTCTCATGCAAAAGGAGGTAAAACCAACACATTGCATGCTAGGGTGAATTTTCACTTCACCAATCTCACCTTTGCCGGAGGCACATCATGCAGAAAGATTTCAATAAAGCTGATCACACTGCAAGAAAGGAAGCCGGAGGCTGAAAACAGCAGAGGAGATGTCACACTGCTGATGGCAATCAGCACCTCCACCTGAAAAACACCAGGAAGATAGAAAAAAAAACTGAGAGAAAGGGAGCCAATTTAAAAGGAAAGAAAGTTTGTAGCCCCAAAAGAAAAAAGTAAAGTTTGTATAACTGAGATGTTATATGCAGTGACTGCAGTATCTCTAATGTAGACTGGGGCCTAAACATGCACAGCACTACAATTGACCACAAGAACCTTGAATTGAGTTCTAAATTTGATGTCAAACCAGCGAAGAAAAATTTGATTCACATGAGGCCTATTGGAGGACCTGGCTAAAAGCTTAGCAGCTGCATTTTGCACCAAAATGATCACAAGATATTTACTGAAGCTGGTGATGAGGGATTTACAAAAATTGAGATGGCTCTGTTTCAGGTTTTACGATGCTTCTCAACCGCATAAAAAAAAAATGTTAATGTTATAAAATGTTTGATTTAATAGAAGAGGAAAGAGAAGTGGACTATTGATAGCTGTAGGGACAAAACTTAAGCAGAAACAATCTGTTTTGTCAGCACTGAGCTTTGAGAGATTATCTGCCATTTACACTGTTAGTTAAAACTAACACTGACAGCATATACAAGGCAAACAGAATAGGAGCCAGGACAGAACCTTGGGGCAAACCACTATATAGCGTTTCAGAAGAACGTTGCCAACAGCAACTGGGAAACTCCTACATGAGCGGTAGGAGGAGAACCACTAGAGGGCTGATCCAGGGATACCCACCCTCCAACTAAGTCTGTCGATTAAGATACTGGGGGTTTATAGTGTGAAAAGCAGAGCACTTTTCAGCATCACCGTACATGAGGATATGAGTAACTGAACAACTGAAATATTGCCTTGTACTCACCAGACATTTGTTGGGGTATTCTGACACAACATGGCTAGCAATAGCACTGGGAAAACACTGCAATGGATTAAAGATCAGGCACAAAGTTATGCAATAAGACCGGTTATGGACGACATCTCAGTTCTCATTCTGAGCAGCAATCTCTGTCATGTTGAAAAGTAAGCTTTAGTGGGAAAACTTACTGCCACAAGGATCCAGAAAAATGTGACTGACAAGTAGGGACCTGGCAGCAAAGCGTCCATGTTGAGGGCAATAATGCCTCCAAATACAGCAGAGATTCCCACTATCACTTCGATCACCTATCAGAGACATCCTTCATTGAGTGATAAATAGACATATTGGAAGCAGACAGCAGTATCATATGCAATGAAACTGAAAATTACTCACAGAATATGCTTTAAGGAGTCGGGTGGGGAACACTGCAGGCGTTATAACCACAGGTCTGTCATATGTCACCGACTGGAAGATGGACGGAAAGATCAAGAGGAGTTAGGATGGAAGAGTGAAAGCTAGAGGGAGAGCAAGAGGGGAGAGACATCAGATGGTGGAACAAAAGCAATCAATCACTCACACACAGACACACAGACACACACACACAGACACACAGACACACACACACACACACACACACACACACACACACACACACACCTTCCTGTGGCAGCAGCAGTCCTCTGCAGAGCGGGCTGACAGGATGACAGTACTGGCCATCAACACCTCCAGCAAAATCATCAAGATGAGGTTAAAGTTGATCTGAGAAGAGACAGAGCAGGAGGGAGGCCTGAGATACAACAGCCGGAGACTGAAGAAAGGAACTAGAGAAAAACCTTTTATTGTGAAGTATAATTTGACATGCAACCAAATGATTGGTAGTTCTCATCTTATTACTGTAATGGATTTACATTGACAGCAGAAGGGTTCAGGACCAGTTTACAACCAAACCAAACCAGGCAGGTGGTTGTTACAGAAAATGTTGACACGTAGACCACCTGGAAATCTGACACCTTGAAAAAATAAGAAATAATGAGACCTGTATTAGCATGTAGCATGGATTGTTTCAAGGAAATTCTATCAAAATCCATTTATACATAATTATCTCTTTAGCCTTCGGTGTGTTCATTGTTTACTCACTGCAACATGTCTGTTCTTGGCAATGGCAAAACTAGCTATGGCTGCAGGGAGGCCCTGTGAAGAACAAGAAGTGAGCAGCTGCATTCATCTCTTTAGCAGATGCTGTCTGAGAATTATGTGTTACTGGCATTGTGACATGACAGTCTAATCTAAACAATGTGTACGAACTCATTAAGCTAGGGTAGAGGTAGAGAGGCAACATCAGTATGTAAATGTGTCTGAAATTACACTTGCATGATGATCACTTACGGAGCCTGCAGCGCAGCGCAGGTAGTCCATAGCAACAGGAAACACATTTCCCAGGTACAGAGAGAAACCAGATGTGATGAGCAGACTGCCCTGAGGACACACACAGACACAGGCATGCATGCATGCAAACACAAATACAGATACTCATACTGTATATGCATTTGACAGGTAAGGCTGATGCCCACAAACATTTATCATAAATAAATCTAATGTAACACATTATACATGTCCAAAGACAAACTGCTCGCCTTTGAAATACGGACTGGGAGTAACCCCATTACATCCACCCATATCCACTTTTATAAAGTTTGGGAGTTTTATTTCTCTCCTTGGATTAAATTTTCATAGGATCCATTTCCATCTTTTGATATTATAGCACCTGGACTATTGTAGATAATACAATTGATTGGAGCTTGTATAATTTGGAGACATACTGTTGCTTAAATGTGGAAGGACAAACAAGATTTGTTGCCATCTCACTCAAATTTTCAAGATTGGGATACACTCTCATCAGACAAAAAACATTACCCCAATCTTTTAAACTTGTGTGTCATGGACTAAAAAGGTAAATCCTGTGGTGTGCCTCCTCTGTAACTCTCCCTGACCATCTTTTCTCTCACCCCTATGAGGACACTGTAGAGCCAGGCCCTGTAGCTGAAGCAGGGGTGCTTTAGAGGCTCCGACTGCGCCAGCTGCAGGTCACTGGCCCTCACGTCCACTGTGTAGCTGTCCCGTTCGAGTCTATCCTGCTCCCCCCTGTCCGGCCTTCTCTCCGCTCCCCTATCGACCCGTCGTCCCAGCGTCCCGCTGCCTCGTTCCAGAGTGGACATGTGGCTGTAGGTGAACTCCTCTCTGGCTGATAGCTCCTCACGCTGCATCTCTGAAACAAGCTGTGGTTGACTTTGGACAGGATGGGAAACAACCAGTGAGGATTGCAGCCTCTGGGTAAAGGAAAAAAAAAAGAAATTCCAGTTATGAAATTTGAGAGACATGAAAGGTGATTTGAATGAATATGATACAGAGTTCTCCAACATGGAAATTCAGGAAGAAAATCAATGAAAAGTGAATTAAACTAAAAGAAAATGAGCCATAAGGCTATTTATCATGCAGTCTCACCAAAACAACCCCCTCCTTTTTGTCTGCTCAAGCCAGGAGATGACCACTCATTTAATGTCACTGTTTCTTTTTCACACATCACGCTCTTCACACTCACCTGTTGTTGAGTCTCCTCCAGAGTCTCCCCAAATATTGTCCAACAAAGGTATCCTTCAGTAACTGAGATCAAACCACCACATGGAGGACAACTTCTTTTTGTCTGCAGCTCCTTCTGCTCCCCATGTCTCTCTCTCCCTTACACTTAGACTCACTCCCCCCTCACCCTGCCCATCTCCTCCTCTTTTCTCTCTCCCTTTACACGACGTTTCTCAGAAACAGTTCTGAAAAGTTTTTTTGAGTCCTTCAAAGCGCAGAGCTAAAACACTTGGCTCTTGTGCTGCCAGCCTGCTTTGTGCCAAAGGGAGAGCGCCTGTGCATGACAACAAGGGGAGGACGAAGGGGCTCGCGCTGGGGGCAGAGTTAGCAGGGCAAACACCCTTTTTACCCTCCCATTTGCTCAGACACACACACACACAACACACACATGCACATCAACCCACTCACAAAACTGAACAATAGATGTTCAGAGCTGTGCGCATGACAGCACCCAAAGTTATGTGTTTTGAAAGTTCCCAAAAGAAAGTCATGGCAAGAGAAATAAAGCAGCTGCAAGTAGAAAAATCACACAAATCATGACATGTGCTTTGACAAACAGTTAGTTTTGTCCTTACATAATTGAATGTGTCACCCTGTGGAGCTCCCTTCACAACTTCCCTTGGGGTTACTTGGTGCTCTAGTTGCATTTCACAGCCCAGTAAATTAAGATGCCCAGCAGTTCTTTAGAAAAGAGGCAACAGAGACATTTCCACGGCTTAATCACATGGTCCCTTGCCTGGCACAGCTAATCTGATGATGGATCATTTCTACTTCAAACCAGAATCTCCAAACTACTCACTCAGGAGTGAATCCTGTTGGATGACGACATCTTGTGAGTGTGTGTTCACTGTGTCAGTGTATAAGAATGTACATGTATGTGCACCTCAGGATTCCTTTGAGTTTTTCACACAGCGGAGCATTCCCAGCTCAACATTGTTCCTGGGCGGTGGTAACCATGGTGACTACTTAACAACTGCTGTCACCCCGTCCCTTGCCATTCTAATTTCTTCGCCACACACACACAAACACACACACACACACACACACACACACACACACACACACACACACACACAAGCACTCTGGAAATCCCATACACACTCAAAAGAGAGGAAAGTATATTGCCACAGTTCTCTGGAGACATAAAGGAGGATCTGAGGAACACTGATTAGATGAGACACAATTCAATATCTGAGAATATACAATATTCGAAAGAGCTTGTCTGGACTGAAATGTTTACTCCCAGTAATTCGATTGTGAGAGTTTACCATTTCATGCAAATAGCTAGGAAAAATCATTGGGTCAAACAAATCCATCCTGCTGCCCCTGACATTTTATGCCACATAAAGAAAAAGGAATAGCAGTATCATGTTTGGCACTTGGGTTTCACTGTGGCAGACACAGCTTAAACCCTGGGGCAAAAATGACTAATTGAAAATAAATATTATGGAATGGCATTATGAATCTCTTGACAGTTATTTGAAATCGATACAAAGGGCATGTCTGCATGAGAAGTGGGAGAGGAACTCATTGAGAGCAGCAGTGACCACACACACACACACACACACACACACACACACACACACACACACACACACACACACACACACACGGTGGTCACTGCTTTGCTGTTACCCTCTTTTGCAAGAGAGTGGACCTGAAAGGAACAAGGCTAGGTCTGTTCTCTCTGTACAGCTCTGAGTCTCTGTCTCCCTCTCTTTACAGGTGTAGGTAGGTAGCCTACTTTACGACTGAACAACCAATATAGAAGATGATGCAAAACCTTTCCCAGTTTCAGAAACAACATTAAGCTTTACATCGATCCAAGGCTGCAGATTTTGTTTACTGTTTGAAGCTCTAACTTTGATGAGACATTTGGTGTTAGATTGTATGAGACCTCTCTGGATTGCTGCCATCACTGATTAATATAAATTCTACAATAATTTATTGTTAATTTTTCAGTAACAACTTGGAATGTAAAATCCCAGCAGCATTTATGTCTTAGTCCTTTGCACCTATGAGCAAACACTGCTTCATTGTGAAAGCCAGATTCAAAATGGCTTCATTATTGGCACCAGTCTAGTCATTTCATAACAAGATATTGAGACATTATTGACATAATCCTCTATGGAAATATTACTGTAAGCTGTTACTTTTGTAAATAAGAATTGCAACATGATGACTTATTAATTATTCAGAAATGATTTGATCGTGTGATCAGTATGTAAATTGCCACCATAGGAACAGTGTAAATAGCACTATACCCTGTGTTGTGAATATATACTAATGGTTTTTCAACACAAACAAATGCTGATTGCTTTCACAGCAGTCCCACCTAATTATGGGCAGTAGCTGATGTAGTTTTGTTATGACATTACATCAGTTTTGGGGCTTCATAATTGAGTGTGCTGTGAATAAGGAACGTATTGTTGCCAGCTGCCACAGAGTGCTGGTATTGTTTTCACCTTGTGAGTCCGTGCGCGTGTTATTATGGCAAAATGTTTTCCTGGAGCCACCGACTGTTGCGAGAACTAACACAGGGATGGATTTGAGTACTTGGGTAGGTGTTTATACGTCTGTCTGTCTGTCTGTCTGTCTGTGGACAGACTGTCGTCAGCGTGATAGCGTCGCAACTGTGCAAGATACAGTCACAAAACACTACAGATGTGTAGTGTGTAGATCAAAATGAAGGCTGAGTTTGAAGACCATTGAGTACTCATGGGTCAGAACATCAACATGTTGACAAGCGTCGTGTGGTCCTTATCGTAAGATGGTCTCTAGTTCAAGTTGCCATTGATTTCAGGCTATTTATCCAAGGCTGCATTGGCTTGTGTGCAGTTGGGTGCCACATTAAATCACCTCCCAGCTGGGATGTAACCTTTTAGCTGTGGAGAACAAAACAATAACAGGACAGCTTTCAAAATTTGACATCAAACAGAATACTAGATGTCCCCCTCTCGGGTGTTTTTGAGCCAGAGACTGCAGCAGAAGAATCTAAGAGCGGATTCATAGCACTCTTTATATTAATCTTTATAGAGGAAAGATCAAGTCACACATACACAAGTCATGTGGTTTCACAATCCCTGGAGAACAGCTGACAGCATAATGCTCCCTGTTCAGGACGAAACAGGCCTGGAGCCTCTCACACACGACATGACGACACCGTTTGACTGCTACACATTTATAGAGACCCATGCTGATGAAAAAAAACTATTCTCACCCAAGTGTGAAATCAGCTCCTCAGTGTAATCTTCCAACAGCTCAAACAGAAAAAAACAAAACACACTCATCCCTCTGACATGCAACATTTAAACACAGATATTTAAAAGATGAGCTTTTCATTTTTTTACAGCGATATCCGACAGCGACACGCATGAGAAAACATCTGTGGATATATACATTAACTTACTTACATTATCAATAGCTCTGTTTTTTTTTTTTTATGAACAATATGTACACAGCAGCCGAGGAAGGAAAAGTCCTCTTTCCCACACAGCTGCTCAAAGTCGATGCTGCTGAACGTCCCCTTTTTTTTTTTTTTTTTTCATCAGTCACATTACAGGTACTAGTCAGTTGTTTTACGTGTTTGGCTTTAAAGAGCAACCAGCACGGATAATGCTAAGTGACTGATTGAATATACAAATTAATTACTCTGTACAGTTGCAGATGTTTCAGCAAATAATCACAATATGAGGCAGCAGTTCTTCCTCACGGCCAGGAAGGGACACACTGATGGCTTAATACATTACGCCGAGGTTGTTCATCATCTGAACACACAGAGCCATGTATTCAGATGCTCTGACTGCAGTTGTTTGCATCTCTTCCTCTGAGTTTCCACTGAGTCCCATCTGATCCCTTCAGATCAACATGTAACACACATAGTGTCCTACGGAGCTGAGAAACTCCTGCTGGACGAGGGACATTGTTACAGTAATGGATGTTATTGGCAAATTGTGGCTTAGTACAGCTATCTTATGACAGTCGTATGTTAATTCATAGTAGACAGATATCAACAAGGCAGACAGACAGACTTGTAACCATCTGTGCTAAGATAACAAGAAGCATATTAGCAACTGATGAGCTTCACAGAGACAAAGATCGTAACGGGACAGTCCACGAGTCAAGTGTTTTTTCTCTGTCACTTGAAATGACCCGTAACTCAGATGCATGTCAATACAGTGTCATGTCTCCGACGTCCCACTGATCAATATTCTCTGTTCCCGTGTTCACAAGAGTGAGGAGATCAGACGATGGACCCCTTGGAAGAGGACAGGTGGATGGACTGGATGCGGGTGGCCAGGGTTTTCTCCAGGTCCTGCAGGACGTCACAGCCAGGGCTCTCTGGAGGCGCATCGTACAGCAGCTGCTTGAACGGCTCCAACTCGATCAGGATGACCATGTTCTTCAGGAAGTAGCCCTCGATGTAGGATGCCAGGTCCGGAGCGTCAAGAAACTGTAAGAAAAAAGGGAGAAAAAGGTTGTTTTTGCACTCCGAAAAACACATACTGTCTCGTCGCCTAAATGAGAATTTTAAATTCTGTTTGCACCTTAGTGTGGTTGTAGATCTCCACACAAGTTTCAGTGTTGATGTTCTTGGAGCAGATAATTTCACAGTGCCTCTGTAGCGCCTCCAGCTGGAAGAACTTGGCTGCGGACAGAAGCTGCAACCAAACCACAAGTAATTAATATTACTATGCATCATTCATACTTGATAATAGTCATTAAATTTAACTGGTTCAATATCCATAAAACCTTGAAATTATGTTTCATGTATAAGGGTTTGATTTCAGTGTAATATTTTTACACTATTTAATACAACCTCCATAACATCAGTATTCCTGATATGCAGAGCGTCTGTTCCTCCATAGTAGAGATATTGCATCACCATCTGAAAGGAAAAACACGCATTACACAGCTCCTGCACAAAGATAAATACAGTTCAAATTCATAAAGGACGTAGCATGAGTATGTGGCTCGAGTATGATTTAAAAGTCTTGTTTAAAGTAATTATATTACCTGAAAGATGTGATATTTGACGTTGCTGATTTCAATGCATGTGTTCTCACCACAAGGTCTGTT